GAAGGAAGGAAGGAAGGAAGGAAGGAAGGAAGGAAGGAAGGAAGGAACACAATTACAACTGCTAGTGAAAATTCAGAAAAACAATACTAGTAAAAACAAGGCACATACTACTTGTGGGAATTTTGACTAGCCAGTAGAACTGTTCCTCAAGACCTGAAAATGTAACTACCATATACACTATATACCAATATGCCATATTCCAAATACATTCCAGTCACACTGTGCTGGCTAGCTTTATGTCAAATTGACACAAAGTAAGGTCATGTGAGAGAAGGGAACCTCAGTTAAGAAAATACCTCCATTAGATTGGGCTGTAGGCAAGCCTGTGTAGAAGGAAGAGCGGTGGGCTGCTTCCCACTGCCTGGCTAGTTTTACCCGAAATAATTACATGGAAACTGTATTCTTTTAAACACTGCCTGGCCCATTAGTTCTAGCCTCTTATTGACTAACTCTCACATCTTGACTCAACCCATTTCTAATAATCTATATGTCACCATGAGGTCGTGGCTTACCGGGAAAGATTCAGCATGTCTGACCTGGCAGCTTCATGGTGGGAAGTTGACTCTGCTTCTTTCTCCCAGCATTCTGTTCTGTCTACTCCACCCACCTATGTTCTGACCTATCAGGCCAAGTGGTTTCTTTATTAATTATCCTCTTTATTAATTAACTAATGAAAGTAACACATAGACAAATGACCCTCCTATATCAAGCCTAAAGGACATTTTTTAAATTAGTGTTTGGCAAGGAAGGTCCCAGCACATTGTGGGTGATGTCATTGCTGGTTCAGGCTCTATAAGAAAGCAGGCTGAGCAAGCCACATGGAGAAAGTCAATAAGAAGCACCCCTCCATGGCCTCTGCATCAATCAGCTCCCACATCCAGTATCTTTCCCTGTTTGAATTCCAGTCCTCATGAACTGTGCTATGGCACTATAAGCCAAATAAACCTTTTCTCCCCAACTTGCTTTTTTGGTCATAATGTTCTGTTGCAGCAATAGAAAACCTAATAATACACTAAGGTATCTTAATATATCACAGGGATATAGATACTGCTTATTCCGGCACTATTCACAACAGCCAAGGTACCCACAACAGACAAATGAGTGAAGAAAATAGCTATATTCACCAAGGAGGTTCCCTCAGCTGGAAATAAAAATGGCATTCATTCATTTACAGAAAAATGGGCAGAACTTAAGTGAGATAAGACAGACTCGAAAAGTTAAGTACTACACGTTTCTCTCATAGGCAGAATAAGATTTTAAAACATAGAAATGTGTAACTTCAGGGACTGGAGAGATAGTTTAGTGGTTAAGAGCCCTTGCTGCTCTTATGGAAGACTTGGGTTTGGTTTTCAGCATCCATGTGGCCTGTACCTCTACTTCCAGAGAATCTTATGCCCTCTTCCGGCCTCCATAGCATCTGCACAATGTGATGTGCATATATGCTTATAGACCTGCATAGTATAAAATAAGGTAAATGTATAAAATTTTATACAAATATTTATTTATATAAAAAGGAACTTATTTACATAAAGTAAATAAGCCTGACATATGTACACACATAGCAAAGACGATTATTTGGATAATTTTCTTTGCCAGTATATAAGACACTAAATGATATACTATAGTCATTAAGGACAGAATGAACTTGAGGTGAGAGTCGACCAGATTCTCCCAGGGCCATCCATCACGGTGCCCTGTTTTATTATCTCTGTGGTGTTTATGACCTGCTGACATCTTCTTCGTTCATCTATTTATATATTTACCATCTGGCTTCCTCCTGAAACTACGTCTCAGCTCAGTGAGGTCACAGGAACCTTGCCTTGCTATTTGAGCTATACCCCCATCACATTATCTAGTGCTTGGCACTAAGTCTGTGTTCGGTAGATGTTTGTTGAACTATTCAAAAGAAGGCTAAAGTGAGAAGTCCCCCACAACACATGCAGAGATTTAGAGACCTTCAGGGGCCATCCCTATATAGTCTGGGATAAAGAAAGTCCAAAGAACATGCATTGGAGAAAAACGTAAAGTGTGTGATGTCGGTGAGGGGAAGGACCCTCCCCTCACAAAACTCTTTTCAGTCAGTGACTGTGTGTGCATTTATATGTATCTTTCTTGCTCTGGGACACCTTCCACACCAAATATCTCATTTCATTCCCTGTCTACTGTGTATCAGTTTCATGAAGTTTTTGAAATAAAAGGAGTCAGAGCCATAAGTCAGCCATTGGATGAACCAGTGTGGACGTCACCATCAGCCTAAGATACATAAGTCATTCGTTTTTTGTTGGTCAGAAGTCATCCTCTATTGGCGTTTCCTCTGCTGCCTTCTGCATTTCTGTGTTGCAAAAACTCTGTGCCTTCACTCCCTGGAGTGGTGGGCTCTGAAATATTTTTATTTGCTGCTTTGTGGTTATTGGAAGCTGAATAGGCTTTTGATAAAGGTATCTCCTTGCTGAAGAGACAGCGTGCCATGTGGCAAGAAAATGGAAAAGTAATGAAGAATTATTAATAAAACCATCACCTTGGTACCATCTGAGCTCCAGCTGCTGGAATCTCCATCTCACTATTCCAGCACAGACATTGTGTACGCTTGCATTTAATTATTCCTCACATCAAAAAAAATGTGAGCTGTTATGTGCGTACATCCAATTAAGGAGATGTCTGAGTGTGGGTTTTAATAACCTTGAGAATTTATTCAGTTAGGCCAAGAGCCGAGGTTCTTCTCATATATTTTATGCCTCTTTGTAGTAGCGTAGGGGGAGAGGCACCAAGCAGGATACACAAAGCCAATTCGATAATTTAAAAAAAGAAAGGAAGAAATAGATCAAGTTAGTGCCAGGCTTGTTGTGGCCAGAATCAAGGCGTGCAGGCTCAGCCATTTCTTGTAAGTGGTGTTCCAAGCAGTCCCAGAAAACCTGGGGCAGCCGTTTCCACTAATATTTTCTTGGACTTCAAGATGATTAAGGACAGTCTAAATTATCAATGAAAGAGTGGGGGCTAGGATGACGGTTCAAGGGTAAACGTGCTTATGGTAAAAATATGAAGAGCAGACTCTTGATCCAGGGCATCCGTATAATTGCTGGGTTACTGCTCAACTCTAATACTGCTGTCCGTGAAGCAGAAACAGGGGATCCCCAGGGTCAACTATCTACCTAGACTAGCTGACTTGGCGAGCAGCAAGCTCTTGCTTTAAGAGAGAGACTCTGCCTCAATATATAAAATGGAAACAGCGAACTTAGATACGTGCCATCAACCTCTGGCCTCTACATGCATGCATGCATGTGTGCTCTCATGCAGACTTGCATGCATACACATGCACACACACAAATGCACACGCAAGCATTGAAACCAAAATATAAGACAGGAAGTGTTTGGGAATCCTGGCTGCTTCCCTTAACAGTGACCAGGTGCCATGCAGAAACTGTCAAGCATCAGAAACCTCTGTCCTTCCATTACCAGCAGACCACACAGGCGTCCTGGGAAAATCACTTCCTTACTTCAGGCCACACCCCGTCTGTCCAATGAGGCCTTAGATGGGTTAATTCAGTCTTCCCTCTCAACACGTGTTGAATGATCTATCAATGTCTGGGTGCTAAACCAATCAGGGAGGAGAACGCAGAACTCAAGAGACAGAAATCAGAGTGGTGTCTGCATGGAGCTCATGCCCAAGTGACTGCTCACTCAATCGCCATGAATAACAGTCAATTCCCTGCAACATCAGATTCCTCCACCATGTGTAAGGAAAGCTTTGTGGACAGGTTGCAGCAAGTTCTTCGGCTTACTCCTAGGGGGGTGTAATAACAAACCTCCGCCAACTCCCACTCCTCAAACCAGGCTGGTGACTGCAGATCCCCATAGTCATCTCTTCGTAACTGCACAGCATAATGGAACTTGAGTTACACCTCTGTGGCTCTTTCTCATCTGTCAAAGATGCTAGCAGCATCGCCATGGTTACATGGTAAGGCCGGTACAGTTTTGTGTACTTAGGACAGAGAAGGGCATGTCATAAATAGCCAGTTGATGTCAGCTGCCGTCATCACTGCTCCATCAGGGTAGATGTGGGTGTGACTGATGAGTGCCCTTTCATTCTGTCTTTCAGATCGTGAAGCTGGAGAAGAATGGCATTGGGTACCACTACATCCTTGCCAATCTGGTGAGTGGAGTTATGACATGTGGTCCGGTCCTATCCTTCCCACACCTAGGGTTTGAGGTTGCCTCACACCCACCTATACGAACCACGTGGGAGGAAGGAGCCATTCGTAGTGGCATTGCCAAGCCTCAGAGGCACCAAATGTACTCCTTTTCCTCTGTCCTTCCGCTGGTAAAAAACAAACAAAAAAAAATGTAATTTAAGGGACAAAGAAGGAGGTTATTTTAGCTTACAGTTCTAGGTTCTCCTGCATCACTGTGGGGAAGTCAAGGAAAGAACTTGAAACAGCTAGTCGCATCCCATTCAGTCAAGAACAGAGAAATGGATGCATGCACACTGGTTTACTTGCTTGCACTCAGTTCATCAACTTCTCCACTTTTATCGAGTTCGGCAACCCCTGATAGGCAACAGTGCCACCCACAGAGGTCTGGGCTGGGTCTTTACCCATCAATCACTTGATCAAGACAACGCCCCACAGGTGTGCCCATAGGTCAAGTCAATGTAGACAGTCTCTCTCTCTCTCTCTCTCTCTCTCTCTCTCTCTCTCTCTCTTTCTCTCTCTCTCTTTCTCTCTCTCTCTCTGAGACTGTCTTCCCAGTTGCCCAGGCGGTCAGTTAAAACTGACCATCACAGGCCCCCACCCCCATCAAATCGCAGCACACCACTGCCCATGAGCTTCTAAGCTATGCTTGGGAGAAAGCGTGCTGGAGGTTGCAGGGCCGACTTCCAGCCCTCATACGAGTACAGAGCTGATCAGCTCTGGCCCTAGGCGTGAGAAAAAAATCACCATATCTTGGAATGGACAGTAAATGTCTGGATGCTGCTGATTTTTAACTCAATGGTGGTTTTACTATTCACAAGTGCAGACATTTAAATCATAATTATGCTAAAATTGACAAATCTTTAACCCGTAACCGTCTTACAGTGTAACCTATAGCAATGTCAGTTAATGGGTTTGTTTTTCATTTTTATATACAGTCTAGATAAGCCTGTGTCTTAGAAAAATGCCTTTGTCTTAACACAATGCAACTGTTTGTTGGGTGCTATTATCTTGCACACCACAGAGACAGTTTGGTTTCCCAAAGCCTTTGTGTGCACATCCTTTTAACGTGGACACCAGAACGTGTCTGTATAAGCCTTTTCTGCCAATTGGCATCTCTGTCATGCCTATCCTTCCTGTCACGGTTCCCACTTTTATCTTTTATGTCATAAACTTTGATTCTTCAAGCTTTTTTCTTCCATAGGCAAATGTAATATTCTTCTGTACTCAAACCCATATTTTAGAGACTTTCTTAAGATCAAATTCACAGACCACACAATACCACACAGTAGCATACAGTGCTCATTTTCATGGTCCTGTGTGTATTTACAGGGTTATGGAACCATAAGAACTTTGTTTTAAAATTTTATCACCCCCGGACACATGCACATCAGTAGTCTTTAAACAACTCCCCGGCCAAGCTCCCCACAGCCTCAGGAAATCTCTAATGTATATTCTATCTCAGTGCATTCCTTTTGTATTGCCAGACAGTAGCCCATTATAGAGAGACCGCCTGTTTTGCTCATCCACACAGCCAATGAACTTCTAAGTTGTGATCACTGTGGTGCTGGTATGGAAAGCACAGTCGCATACATGTTTGACCTGTGAAACACACATACCACGGCTGGGGGCTGCTGGGTTGGGCACTCAACCCTGTGCTTAACACTTGCAGAAACTCCACAGTTTTCTTTCCCACAGTGACCACAGCCACCATCAAGCCTGAACCCATAACATGTATGGCCATGCATCTGTTTCACTTGATAGTCATGCCTTCCACAAAGTGTTTCCATTGCCTCGATCTGCTTTCTTAACTGTTTATGTTTTCATTCAGTTGCAATATTTGCTATATTTTAATCTATAAGAAAAGTTTAAATGCTAACATTACTGAGCTAAATATATAGCTACATTCAGTTTTAGTCAGGGTATCTTGGCCTGGTTATCTCTGGGTGATGTTGAAGGGGAAAGAAGATTAGTATTTTATGCCATATTGGGATATTGGGAATAAAGATCATTAGTTGAATTAAGATACACAATCTGTATCTAAAATTTTGGTCCAGACATCTGTCAAACCCTTAAATTCTGTCCTGCTTGCCCTCCACCCTTAGCTTGTCCTGGATGCCCCCCTCTCTATCCTCTGAACTTCCTTTGCTTTGGCTGCCCCAGTTCCCCAAGGTCAGGGTTGGAACTAAGAAGGGCTTACTGAGAAAGCTTAATTTAGACTTAGGTTTCAAGGGCTATAGCCATCACCTTTTCAAGATATTCACATTTTAATGAGTGGTATCTGTTTAGAATCTCTGTGGGGAAGCCAAGGATCTCACCCCCGAAAGACTGTTTGCAAAACTGAAATCTGTTCAGTAGAACTGAGGAAGTCTTTGATGTCCCTCCTATCTCAGGTCCACAGTGCTGAATGGGACCATGGGAGTCAGTTCCATCAGCATCTCTGCTGCTTGTACGGGAACAAAACCATCAAGGGAGCATGGCTCACTCAGAAGCAAAGAGTGTCCGTAGGCTAGCATCAGCACTGGTGACAGTGTCCACTGCTCTTGGACACCTGCTGCCCAGGAAAGCCCAGAACCTGGGCAAAGGCATGCACAGTTACTGCCTTTCGTAAGGCAGAAATGACCCAGTATCCTTGGGGCCTCTAAAGGAAGGACCCAGGTAGTTAGACCACTAGCCCTCATCTGTCAGCAAGTGACCCCTCAGCCACAGCCTCCCCAAGTCAGCCCCTCAGGTTGCCCTCTCCTTCTGATCCACATTTTTCTTCTTCTGACCTAATGAGTTCTCAGATCCTAACAACTGCCACTAATAGGCTGCAAATTGCAAACAGCAGCCAGATACGAAGGACTGGCGTGTTCCAATAGATTAGTTGATAATTAGGCTTCAAATTCCTAATTAATTCAGTTTGAGACATGGTGGAGGATGTGCTGTGCTTTCTTTCCCCTTCAGAGGAATATCACAATTTATGAAATGATAATTTTTAGAAATTCCGCCACATAATTAGCCTGCTGCTGCGTGGAGCGAGCCCTCTTCGTTGGGGCACTGCAACTCGGGTGCAATTATAGATTAAGGGACAGAAACCCTTTGGACAGGATAAGCATGTACCACAGTTCTTTCCACTTGGTTTAAAGGAGCCCTCTGGACTCTTTGGAGGATGCTGAAAGACTCCAATCACCACCCGTGGAGAACTCCCAGTGGGAGGAGGGAAGGAGAACAGAGGAAGGGAAAGGCTGATGGAGAAGAAGGAGGCTGAAGGCTCCAAACTCTGCTTCGTGTCCCCAGTGTCACTCTTGCTTAGCTAATTTTCTGTGCAGTCAAGGCTCAGACTCAGTTTCCCCATTTGTCAGTTGAAAATAATAATTCTCTGTCTTCTTAGGGTATCAACAGGAAAGAACCCAACGTATTGCCAGGTGATGCCGTGTCTTGAGCAATTAAGTATTCCACACAGGTGGAGACTTTTAAATTTTTTTATACTTTGATATTATAATGTAATTATATCATTTCCTCCTTCCCCTTTCCTCCCCCTGAATCCTCCCAGACACCACTCCTTGCTCTCTTTCAAACTTACAGTCTCTCTTTCATTAATAACATGTATTCATAAATACGCCCTTTTCAGTTTGTATAATGTTACTTGTATATTCGTTTCCAGAGTTGACCACTTGGTGTTGGATAACAATGGGTGTGCTCTTCCCTGGAGAAGACTATTTCTCCTACTCTCAAGCATTCCTTAGTTGCCTATAGAGAGTTAAGGACTTATGGGCTTTCCCCCTTCCCTGTTAGCGTGTCTATTGCTGTGGATCTTGTTCACCTCATGCTTGAGCAGTCACGCTGGTGAGACTTGATGGGTGTAGCTTCTGATACTCCTAGGAGATACAATACCACAGCAAATGCCTTGTTCCGCTGGTTCATAAACTCTCCCAATCCCTCTCCTACAATGATCACGGGGCCATAGGTGCATGAATGGTATTGTAGATATACCCACTGGGACTGGGCTCCACAACTCTGAATTTTGATTGGTTATGGTTTTCTATAATGGTCCTCACCTGTTACAAAGAGAACTTCCTTGATGATGGGTGAGGACGACACTTACCTGTGAGTTTAAGGACAAATATTTGGAATGTAGTTGTTGGTGGTTGTAGGTTCTCCAAGATCCATGACTATGCTGTCCCTTGGTAGTTGGCTAGGTTTCCAATACCAGGCATGATCTCCCTGTTGAGTGGGCCTTGCTAAGTTTAATTAGAGAGCTGTAGGTTACCACAAGGTATATGTGCCAATAGCGCATATTTAGGTTATGTGAGTCTGGTCCTTATAGCGATTCGTAGGTATCATAGCTGGGTAGGATTGTTGGTTGCTTCCCTCCTTTGGAAGGTTGTAGGGTGCCTTTTAGAACCATGAAAACTGGTCCTCAGGGAGGAGGCTTAACGTCAGTTTCAGTTCTGGAGCCCCTGGGCCCTGCATCTGAATTGCATGGTGTCTTCAGCAATAGGAATTGACCCTAGGTGAAGATTTCATACTAAGAACTTGCTTGACTAATTCACCCGTTGGTGTATGTGCATGTATCATTTATGTGTATATACGTGCACGTACATGCTTACATATCTATTCTTAATTTACATTGCATGACAATGTAGATGAAGATTAATACAACACTGGAATCTCCATCAGTTTCACTTGGACAATGCAAACCTTGGAGAGCTATGTCAGTACACCTTCATTTTCCCAATCCCAGTCTTTTGAGATATAATTCACTTCAAGTAAATAATTCATGGATCCCTGATATATTTGCAGATTTGCTCATTTCCACAACCAGCTTTTTAGAAATATAACACTTTTCTTAATTATTTGAGAATTTCATGCAGTTATGCAATGTGTTCTGATCATATTTTCTCCCACTCTGCCTCCTACCTCCTCCCATCCACTCCCACATCTCCACCCTTCCCATTTCTTGTGTTTAATTTTTTTAATAACCCATAGAATCTAATTTATGTGACACATATTCTCCTGGATAGGTGGCCATCCATTTGAGCATGATTGACCTATCAGGAGCCACACACAGACTTAAAGAAAACTGACTCTCCTTGCCCCAGAAGCCGTCAGTTATTAATAGTTCTTCAGTTAGGGCTGAGTACGCACAAGGCCCTTCCCCGTCCATGCTAGGATATTGGAAGACTCAAATCTCATACAGCTCTGCTTCAGGCAACCACAGCTGCGTGAGCACCCCGGTCCTGTCATGTCCCGAAGCCTCCTTCACAGCAGTCCTCCCCAACCTCTGGCTCTTACAGTCTTTATACCTCCACTTTCAAGATGGCCCCTGATCTTTGCAGGGAGGGGACGTGATATCAATGTCCCATTTGGGAGTGAGCACTCCACTGTTCCTGTGCAAAGAAAACTTGTTCTCCACATTTGGACCTGTGGTGATTTTCTGTTAACCGCTGTTCACTGCACAAAGACACTTTCTTTTTGAGGGCTGTGAGCCGCACTAACCAACGGGCAAAGACGTATCTTTAGAGGTCAATTATCTAGCAAAGTAACAGTAATAAGTTCATCCATGGGGCCTATGCATTCCCCAGCCTTGGGTTCTTGGCCAGATTTACAGCTTGAGGCATGTGTCTCTTCCTGACAGTAATAAGTTTAATGTGTCTTCATCACATGCCAGAGAACTTCTCCCTAATCCTTGGTCATCATTCCCCGCATCACCCTTGACTCACATCTATCTTGCCCCTCCTAACTCCTCCCTCGGGGGAGGGAGGGCGAAGGTGCAGCAACAACAGCATAGACAAGTGAAATGCAAACAGCAGACTCGTTTATTCAGTAATTGGGAGAGCCTTATATACACTCCTCCGAGCACCCAGACTGCATTTCGATCCATAGACATCACGTGGTCATTGGCCAGGCATGATCAAGACCTCTGAATGTGTCTGTTGCTAGGTCCTCAGGCAGACTCCAGGGTGGCTCATCTCTGGGCCTGGTAGGGTTTATCTTCTTACAATCCCAGCCCAAGACAACCATTTCCCTGCTTTCCGTCTTTCTGTTCTCATCTACTCCAGACACGTATTTCTCTACCCTCCACTAATTCTGATGTTATATACTGACCCTCCTGATTGCTCTTGCCATCGACATTATAGTCACCTTTCCGAATGAGGAAATAAAGGTAATATGGCTTCCCCAGTTCCACCACGTTTATGAAACAAAGGAGATGCACTTTCCCACAATCCACAGACACCTGGAGTTCAAGTTCTCACTACTGTAGCCTGTGATAGTCGGGCACAGGACAGTTAGAGAGGCAGGTATAGGGGAAAGTCTCTGTCAAGAAGGTTGAGGTCAATGACAATAGTAAGTCCAGAGTCCAAACTCAATGACTGTCATTCAAATAAAATCCTGCTAGTCTGATAGAAGCTGAGGAACAAATGGTGGTTCCTGGTCTCCCCATGGTTTACAAAGGATCTTGGGGTTCAGAGCAGTCAAGCCATGTATACCACCACTATGACCACCACTAACTCTAGAGACATTTAGAGTCAGAAGTTTCGGTTCATACAGCAGGCAGCTAGCTCACACCCTCGGGTTGATTTCCTCAGCCCAAGAAGAAACTGTTCTTTAATCCCTTGCTCACCCACACTGAGAAATCTGTAGACTCCTTCTGCGAGGCCTAGCTCACCCACTCCCCTTCCCTCAGCACCATATGGGGTCACATGTGCCTCTGTTGAGGGGGGTGGTACAAGCGCTGTTGGGAAGAGTGGCTCTCCTATTGGACAGACCTAGTTTTGACTTCTGTACTTACCAGCTGTGTAACATTCTTCTAATTCCTCACAGTCTCTGGGCTCCCATGGCTTATGTCTGAAAAGAAGTAAGAATGTTAACTGCCTCCTCCAGTGATGCTGTGAGAATTGAGCAAGCTGGGGTAGAGGAAGTGCTTGGAGTAATACATGACCCCAAATGGGCACTTAATAAGTGTTGGTAATTGCCGCCGTAATCACCATCATCGATGTCATCATCATCATTACTGGTAGCCCTGTCTGGGGACAAGATACCATCTTTGAGATCCCTCAGGCAACTGCTCCATCAAATCTCATCTTATTGTTATGTGCCGCCATAGCCCCAAGTACCTTCCACTTACCATAATTGAGATTAGGAAAGCCACACAGATCTGTACGACGCCCTCTGCTCTTAATCCGAAATACATGATGGCAGCACATGACGGTTTCATCTACTGCTGACTCCCCAGGGCCTGGGAGTGGGAGGTGCACAGAATGCATTTCTCTGAGAAGTCACTGAAGGGGTGAAGGGGTGAAGGGGTGAAGTGGTCCTCGAGAGTGGTGTGCTCATACCTCACACATTTCAAAACAGCATTCTGTGTCTGCTAAAATAAGTGAAGAGGGGCCAGGAAATGGCTCGGTAATTAAAGCCTCTGCCAAGGACTAGAGTTGTATCCCCAGAAACAATATAAATGTAGGTGAGTGTGGCAACCTCAGAAAAAGGAGCTGGAACCCGTGAGCAAGATGGCGGGTGAAACTAGCCGTAACTGAGAGCTCCGGATTTGATTGAGAGACCTGGCCTCAACCTGTAAGATTGACCAGCAATAGGATTGCTCCTAACATCAACCTCAGGTCTCCTCGGGCACATGCATCGACATGTTCACACACCCACATACATGTGATCCCACACACATGCAAACACATAGACACACATGTGAAAATGGAAAACGAAAGAAAATCTTCCCACAGAAAGGGCAGGGATGGGAATCCAGTTCTGACTACGCACGTGATAAGTAGGTGATGGGCAGACCTCACCCACTTTCTAGGAAGGACCAGCCTCTCCTCGGCTCCATGCCCGAGTGAGGCCCACTCTTCTGGCTCCTGGGATGGAGGTGCTTTACTTCTTCAGGGCTTTGACAGTCACCATAGCCTCTGGCTACAGGGCATGGCCTGTGTCCTGCTTTTCCCAGTCACTTCTGACTCGAGGAGAGTGTGTGTTGCCCTTCCGTAGGCCCACCTTGAACACCTGGCAACGCTTATGGCTGGGTCTTTGGGGTGTGCTCCCTCAACCCAGGTTCCCTCCCGCCCTCTAGTCCTTCCTCCCAGGGTGTGGTGCTGACAGTTGACTAAGTCAACATGTGGGCTACTCATGCCCCTAATCTGGTAACTGTTGGGCTCATGAAGTGCCCACCTTCACTCTTGTCCTGTGAGCACCCTGACCTTGGCCCCCAACTAGATCAGATCACATAAAAACAAGGTAATGTCTGTGGTATTTGCACAGCACTGCAGAAGCGGTCTGAAACATGAGAATATGGCATCGGAAGAGAGGCACTGTGGGGGAGGGGAGGACATCCAGGAAAGAGCAAGATGAGGCACCCACCCACACATCAGCATGGAAGTAAAAAATGTGCCCTCTACCTGGTTTCAAGAACCCAAGAACCCATTTGATCACAGGACATTGAGAAATCAATCTTAAACTAACCAGGAAACTCTCTCTCTGGTGCTTAGCGTTTACAGTGTTGAAGAGTGCTTTGCAGGCTGTTGGGGGGGAAGACATCCATGGTCATGCCAGGTGAAATAGTGGCACAATGGTTATAAAAGTAACCAATCACTTTCTGACTAGCTGTAAGGCCTACTCCCTAGGAGGGATTTCATGTCTCATTCTGTAAACCTTCTCAAATGTCCAGGTCTGAGGAGACTGTAACACCTAGGAGTGAACCTATTTCTGGTTTTCGATACATAGTTATTCTCAGTAGATTTTAAATTTACCTACCATTTCTTTAGATTTTCACATTTTACATCATGCATTCAGTGGGTGCCTATATATGTATAAATGAATAAATTTATAATGAATAATGAAATGAAATGAAAATAATGAAATGAATACACCATCATTTTGCAAAAATATGTTTTTCTGGAAGTTCTGTTTGGCTTTCTCTGCATAGTAATGTCGAGACTACATAGGAAGATGTTGGTTGAAGACCACCAGTAATTCTAGACATAAGAAGTCGTCCTGTGCCAGGAGAATTTTAAAGGTTGACCTTCCTCTAAAGTTAGTTAGGCCAAGAGTCAACCACAACCACAGTCAGTCAGGACAGAAGTAAGATGAGGGCATTCTCTGGAAGACAGCACAATCTCAGACCATGTAGAGCATCTCCAAGCCTTGCATCAAGAGCCCAGGCTGAGGATCACTGACCTTCTAACACAAAGTGTCAGCAGTTTATTCTAAATCCCAGGACTGAGATCTGGAGATGCTGAGGAACCTCTGTGATATTCTGGCTATGACGGACACATGCAGAATCCACCTGCTTTTGCGTTTGCAGAGACTTGAGGATACAGATACCTCCCCCTGACTTCAGAGAGGACTACATGAATCAACATTAGGCTTTTTGCTAATGTGGATGGCATGTCTATTGGATGACTTTTGTACAATGTTTTATTGACTTGTTAGAGACCACATAAGCTGTGTGTTACCAGAGATAATGCAGGATGTGATGCCTGGAAGGTTTGGCTTGTTAGGATGCTTAAAATGGGAAAATGTGGAGATTTTTATGCAAAGACATGAGTTTGATGACAATTAAGTCATCAACTGAAGACTATTCCATGGATTCACTTTTATCCATATTCCCCAGCATACACCTATGTGGTTGCAGAATTATAGATCAGAGCTGAAAGCACCCTCAGGAGAGAAGTAAGCTGGCCCAGAAGTCCCCACACCTTTGGAGTCGAAAGCTCTGTTTTCAGGTAGAATCTTGGGGAGACCCTTACTGTGTAAAAGATTCAAAACAAGTATGAAAGTTAGGAGGTGCGCCAATGTCTTCTGTCCCTTCCCGTAATGTAGCATGGTGACCTCTGCAGCCTGTGCCTGAAACACATCTTGAAGGATTATTGATCTGACAGATGTCTTTGGTAAATCAATATCCACTTGCCTGGACAGGTTACAACAGATATCCCAGAGCAAAGAGCTCACAAGCTTCAAAGACAGGACAGGAAGTTATGTGATTATCCCTAAAACTGTCTTCCTGGGGCTTTTTATCTCTGACCTGTTTCACAAGAAAACATACACAGAGAAGTCAGTCAAAAGACCCCTTTAGTCCTTGAGACAAAAGGGGCGGTCGGAGGTGGCAAGTTTGACACTTGTAAGGAAGTCAGGATCAGAGCAGGTTCTGTGGCTTCATTCCTCTGCACACTCTTACAATGCCACCCTGCACCTGCAGTCTGTGGACCCTGTGGGACTGTGGTCTTGATTTGGAGGAGCAGCTATGGTCTCTGCCTTTGTCTGTCACAACCACAGACAATAGAGATGCAGAAATGGGGGGCTGAAAGGCTAACACTCCAAGTGGCACATCAGAGGCGCTGAAGATAAGTATCTTGGTCTCCAAGAGGACACCATCCCCTCCCCCGCCATCCCCCTTAAGCTGAAGCCTATTCCAAGGGCTCCTGGCAGGAGATGAATGAACAGGAAGGGAGATGGTTGGATACACAGAGGTTGAAACCCAAGCCAGAAAGTCACCTTACTCCCTCCATCTCTCAGTAGCCAGCTAGTTGGAGAGAAGTCGATCTACAAAGTTTTCTCAGTCCCAGTTTGCAAGTGTTAAAGAAGGACCTGCTTCTTCATGTGGTTATGAGGATTAAATGCGGTAATCAAGGCAATGGCCCCATGGCAAAGCATGCTACCTCGATTGGTTCTGACGGCTTCATGCAAAACGCAAGGGTTGCTGTCATTATCTTAACAGAACTCGGTCTCCCTTGAGATCTGACTGTTCGTCTGTCTGGCCCACCTTGCAGAGCCTTAGAGAACAAGTTTCCCACCTCTTCCCCATGACAACCCTACCCTCCCGAGAGCCGAGTACATCCTTCGCCTACCCGCTCAATCTTCTATTATGTTTCAGGCTGATCCTCTCTGCTCCTTCAAAGCCTTCCGTATATAAGGAGACTTTTCAAATCATACACTCTTGTGACTCCCCACAGAGCTGTCATCTGAGATTTTTCTCTGACAATCTGGGGAAAACTTGACGTGTTCAACCTGCGCCATTCAGAGTATAAAGTACAAGTTTTTGATTTGGTCTGATTTTAGCTCTTCTTGATGTCAAGGGACTGGGACGGAAGGGTCTTGCCTTAATAGGCCTTCGTCTTGACGCCGAACCTGAGCATTGCGGAATGTTCTGTCTCCTTTCTGCTGGGTGCGATGTGGGCTTAGACAGGATGCCGAGGGCTGAGCAGCATGTGGGTGACCCTCTTTTCAGGATCTCAGCATAAAAGAAAATCGAGCTTGGAGGCCAAAGCTTGTCAGCACTGAAAAGTGCTGTGCTGTGGGCTGGGGAGATGGCTCAGTCAATGGAACACTTGCCTCCCAAGTCTGAGGACCTGAGTTCAATCCCCAGAATTTACATGGAAAAGGTCAGGTGATATTGATGTGACCTGAGTCACAAAAACCTGTGACACTCACATTCTGGCCCTCCACCAAGGGCACTCTTGGCCTGCGGGTGGATAAAGGTCAGCGGACTCGTTAACAGGCTCCAGATAAGTCAGTGCTTGAGATATATCTTCACAGTCTGGCACAAGAGCTCTGGCCAGGCAACATTTGCCCCAGGTTCCTAACTGTGTGTTGTTATTGCGAGAGTTTTGGCCCTCTTTGACTGGGGTAATGAATACATGATCCTGAATCTAAAACTCCTGTGTGGCATGTTCGTGAAGAAGTCAAACTGCGTAGTTAGGGCATTCACAGAGGTCTCCGAATGAGATCTCAGCAAAAGTGGGGTGAGTTCTTTCAGTGACTTATGCAATGAGCTCTTGGGTCTACTGTCCAGTTTCCTCTCAGGCTGCTTATGGGATTAAGCTGGACCACATTTATAAGTCATT